TTTAATTATAAATAAGTAAAGAAAAAGTGTTTTAACTTTACTTAACTGGCACCGGTGAAATGCTTATAGTGTGTGATTGGGTGCGTGTGTGTGTGTGTGTGTTTGTGCGTGTGCCCTGCTAGGAACTGGCATCCAGTCCAGGGTGTCCCTCTGGTTCTTGGCATTAGGGACCATGGTCCCCATGCCTGTACTGGATCATAGTTTGGAAGATGGATGGATGGATGGATGGATAGATGGATCCTCTTTCTCCATCCATATACTACACAATACAAGCCAGTCAAAATAGTCAAAATGCCAGCATGAGGACTGTGAATGCATTATAATTATTCAACTAATCAAACAACTTTCACGATACGGGATATGCACAGGACTCCTAATCAACCTGAGGACCACAATGTGGTTGGAGAGTCCAAATATCATCCAGGGGATTCACAATGCGCGAGAACATTTGTCAGTGTCTTTGATGCAACATTGATGTGACGCCCCTTGTAGCCACTGTCCAAGGTTCTGGAGCACCTCCAACTGGCCCCCGCAGAGATAATCTCACAGAATGATTTTCTGCTTAACAGCTGTAATTGTTATACACCTCTTTTTCCTGAGTGATGTATTCTAATATCGCTGCTGAAATTTTTACAGTCAAAGGCTTCAATTTAGCACACACTGCTAAATGTAACCGGCGCTAATGCATTTCCTCATGGGCAATTTACTGCTGTCATATGTGTCAGTACAGTTTTGCCATAGTTAGCAGCTAATTATTTTAACTAGGTTAGCTATGAGGCCATATTAAAACGTCTCTTTAGTTAAAGCTCGGGATTAAGAGCGGTGCTATTCAAACCTGCATCGCAGATGAGCAGACACGTTAGACAGGCTGTGATTGGTCGCGACGGGATGAAAACATCTCAGCAGCTTTGCTTGCAGATTAACTTTGCTGATGACATCAAGGAAATGCCTTAGCGTGACAGAGATATTAGCTGATAAAATGAATGATGCTGCCATTAAGGTAGGGCCTAAATGGCATTTGTACTTTTTACTTTATGACATATGTGACGCATAAAAGCAGTAGAATTTTTGTTTTTCCATAAAAATCACAACTTGAATCAATATTTTTAAGAATAAATAAGCAAAAATAGCCTAAAGAGTAAATGTGTGTTTGTTTGTTTTTTTAATTTAGAGGTATTACCTGCTTCATCAGGATTTAAGGTCACACATCAAACGTTAATCCACATATGCAGCCAATTACGAGACTCAGCATTTCAGCTTAGTTTTCCATTTGCTCATCTAAGACAGAATGGCCTTTTAAAATAAAGAAGGTGGAATCACAAGATTGATCCTACGTGATCCTACCATTATTAAAGTTTATTTACATGGATGCATCATGTTTTCTTTAAAAGTGATTTTTTTTGTTGTTTATTTATGAGTTACACTTTTCTTTGAGCATCCCATCCAGGGTGCACCCTGATCCCTGTGCCCTGTGCTGCCGGGATAGGCTCCAGGACCTTCAGTAACCCTGACCAGGATCTGTGGATAGAGGCTGGATGGATGGATTGATGGATGGATTCCAAACTTCCTCAGTAACCCCAGCACAAAAACCGTGCACCAGGAACTGCATGGAATGGGCTTCCATGGTCGAGCAGCTGCATGCAAGCCTCACATCACCGAAGGCAAAGCCAAGCGTCGGATGGAGTGGAGTAAAGCACACTGTCACTGGACTCTGGAACAGTGGAAATGTGTTCTGTGGAGTGACAAATCACGCTTCTCTGTCCTGCAGACTGATGGATGAGTCTGGGTTTGGCGGATGCCAGGAGAACGTTACCTGCCAGACTGCATTTTGTCAACTATAACGTTTGGTGGAGGAGGGATTAGATAAATTATAAAATATTGTTTATCAAGGGTTGAGCTAGACTTCTTAGTTCCAGTGAAAGGATCTCATAATGCTTCAGCCAAGACATTTTGCACAATTCTATGCTTCCAACTTTGGGGCAACAGTTTGGGGAAGGTTCTTTTCTGTTCCAGTATGACTGTGCCCCAGTGCATAAACCAAGGTCCATAAAGACATGGTTTAGTGAGTTTGGAGTGGAAGAACTTCACTGGCCCACACAGATCCCTGACCTCAACCCACATCCTTTCCTGTAGGTGCATTGGCCAGGTGTCCCAGTACTTTTGTCCATATAGCATACCTTGGCTGTGTTACGTGCTGTAAGGAAGGTACGTGCCATAAGCGAATTGGGGATGTCCCTGCAGGTTCTCCGGACTTCCTGCCCTCGTCGCCATTCGCCGGTTGCTTCCTTCGGCTCCGCCTCCCGGACCTGGCCACACCCCCTCCCATCTTCAGCATTGCTTCCTGTTTCCCTTTGTTTCCCGTGTTCCCTTTTCCCGTTCCCCGTTTGTCTCGTCCTCCCTTCTCCCTCTCCCTTACCCTTTCCTTTCTGACAGTCCTCAACCCTAGACTGGGGACCGTAACTGCTGTTAATGCTGCCATACAAACACAATCAAAACTGAGCTATGACCAAAATCAGTTTTCTTAGACAGAAAGTCAAAATTTGGATGGGTGGATTCCAAAAAAACACTACCATTTACATACCCACTACACATATAGACAGACAGTCAAAAATTTAGAAGATCTTTTCTCAGTTTCAGTGCCACTGTGTGCCAGAATGAGCAGGAAGACTCTGCCGTGGGAGTCTGTTAGTATAGTTTGGCAAGATGAAGGCAAAGCAGAAGCATGTTTCTTCCTGTAGCCCAATTTTTGTCACAGGGAACATCAGAAGAGGCTCAGTTCTAGAACCTGGTTCTGTGTAAGTCTCAGGTTCTGCTTGTCCAACTTGCAAAAGATTCTGACACAGAGGCCAGGCCAGCATTCCTGAAGTGAAGATCCCATAAGCAACCCTGAAGGTCACGTTGACTGGATTCTTTGAATGTTGTGAAATCTTTTTTTCCTCTCCCGTATCCTGACAATGTGAGCTATGTGTACGAAAAGCAATGTCACATCTCTCTATTAAATCATTCTGCATTTGCAACATCCCAAGACAAGAAAGTACAAAATGCTAAATGACACTCGGCCAAGAAAACAGAGTTTCGCTATTTCATTTTCTTATCGCTCGTTGAGGACACATGCTCTAGTCATTGTGAATTACACACTAAAACTTCTACAAACAAGATCTGGGGTTCTGATGGAGATACCACATCCCCCATGAAATTCCTGCGGGGTCAGCAGAGGAACATTTCAACTGCTGTGTGGTTTAATTTATGCAAAGCCATTAAAAACTGGATATATATTTGCAAAGACTGCATCATGGATATATATGTGTAAAAATTTAAACTTAAGAAAAGTGGCTCCAATTATTATGTAGAAAATACATTTAGATATCAAATTCATAGGCTGCACATTAAAATTTTATTTAATAAGGGAACCTGTTTCAACCTACACTCCTTGGCAAAAAAAAATGGGCCAAAATTTAATATGCAATTTGGGTTTGGCCCATTATTTTGCCCAGGTGTGTATTATATATGCTTACAGCCAGTAGCCAGTTTACTAGGTACATCTGCTTATTAATGCAAACAGCCTGCTCTTCCAAACAATCATGCAGTTGAAACTGAATATATACAGCATGCAGACAAGGTCAAGGGGGTCACTTACTGTTCATCTAAGCATTAGAACAGCTAAGACACGTGATCTAAGCCATTTTGACTGCGGTGGTGCCACACGCAGGTGTTCTAGCATGTCAGCCACAGCAACCCTCCTGTGATTTTTAAAAACTACGGTGGCCTGGAATTTACATAGAACATCCAGTCAATGGCATTTCTATGGCTGAAAACACCTTGTGTTCCAGGGAGAATTGCCAGACTCCAGGAAGGTCACAAGTGCAAAAGTAACAGCTCAGTGTAACAGCTCAGTGTAACAGCGGTGTGCAGAAAGGCTTCATCCCATCAACCACTGAAGCGGTTCTGTAGCAGTTTTAAAAGTGAGTCCTACCTGGTACTAGCTAGGTTCACCAAATATAGTGGCCACTGAGTGCATATTAAAATGCTGTCATCAGGTTAAATAATCAAATTATAAAGTGTTTTACAGTATTTCTCTTTGTAGTTGTTTTTACAGCTGATGATTAAAGCAGATGCGTATCATACTACTATGCTGGCATTATGGCGGAAAAGCAGATTGACATTTTACATTGCATTGCTTACAAAAGTATGTCAGTCTAGGTCAGTGTTCCCCAACCCAGTCCTCGGAGACCCACAGACAGTCCATGTTTTTGCTCCCTCCCAGCTCCTAACAAAATGTGTACTGTCTGGCAGGGAGCTTGGAGGGAGCAAAAACCCGGACCGGCTGTGGGTCCCCGAGGACCGGACTGGCAAACACTGGTCTAGGTTCCTGGTGATAACTATGTCCTTCAGCCCTTCCCTCTAGAATTTCAGCTATCACACAAACTAGCCTGGAAACCTAACCTCTAACCCCCGACCACTGTCATAGTTAAGATCCCTATAAAAGCCCCCCAGGAGTGGCTCATTGCTCCAGTCTCCCATGGCACTTTGACCAAGCGACCGAGACTCACAGCACTCACAGTGCACAGATGGTACAGACCTAAAACAAGAGTGCTACTAACTGATGGATTAATTCCGGAGTGATGGCTATGCCGCGAGGCAGGACTCCATAGCTGGGAGTGATGGGCCCGTGCCAATGTACCAGATATGGTTACACGCCGAGGTTTCCTATTGACACAAGGGAAGGCATTCAGAGCCGAAAGGTCAGGAGGGCAGCAAGAGATTAATGTAAAGTGTTTCACGGTAGCAGATTACGCACAAGTCGGCCCGTAAGTGATAAATGTCATTTCAAGTCAATAACGTACAACCTACACACCCACTCAAAGTTCTGCTTGAAATGTTCTTTAAAATAAATTCAGTCTGTGTGTAAAAATATCTTCTGTTAGATGCAAAGCATTACTAAAACCAAGGCAGAAGAACTCAGCAAAGGAAAACATATCTGTGAGGTAGTATGCAATTCCTTCATTATCAATTTTAAGAAATACAGATTTGCTTGTTTAGGAGCCCATTTGTGTCTGGCTGAATTAATGAAAAGCAAATCAGTTCGAAATCCAGGTGCGGACTGGCCATCAGAAAGTTCTGGTATTTTCCCAGTGGGCCAGTAGTCTTGTGAGGACCGCCGTTTCTTCCCTGGTATAATATAGTCTGTATGCCAGGGGTGGCCAACATGTTGGTCGATCTCAGGGTGTTTCCAGGTCAATTGCAGCAGATGATTCATGGATAATGCTGTGTCTCTTTGGTGGTCAGCTGTTGTCTGCAATATAGGCAAACATAGGCATAATATACCAAGGGAGACCCCCCTCCCCCCCCCGTCCGGTAAGCAGCAAATTCCCAGGCTGCTTTTTATTACCAGTCAAACTACAATATAATAGTAATACTAATCATCATCCTTATCCTCATCTTAATCATCATATTCTTCATCTTCTCTTACTATATTCCCTATTTGCTGCTTTCCAGCAAAAACGTCAAGCGGCATTAAAATATTCCAGACGCGCAACCTTGGGGTTTAAAGGGCAGGAGTCCTGCAGGTTTTTAACACGTCTTCTAATTAGCACAAAATTTACACCTCCGACACCCTGTTAGGAGCATTACTATGCAAATAACTGCTTTAATAAAGCAATTAAGAATCTGGATGAAAACCAGGAACACCCAGGAGCCCGAGGAGCAAAGTTCTACTTCTTTGTGAAAGTAAAAAAAGAACACACACAGAAACTATTTAAAATATACCTGAGTTAATAAGTTTTCATTAAACCCAAACTGTGTGGCTTATCCAGATCTGTCTCTGGGAAATTACTGGGCTGATTAAGGACAGTGGACTTCACTTTTCTGTGCGTTTTATACAGAGCCCAGTTCAAAGGCATTGACACACAATCGGAACGGTGCCTTGGACAGAAGCAGCCACAGCCTCTGCATATCAAAGGGTGCCTCCGCGTTCCACTATAACTTAACCTCGGGTTGCTAACACTTTATCTTGTGGCTACCAGCAGCCATGCGGACTCACTTTGACAAGCTTTAAGAAATTCTTTTCATTATGACCAAGAAAGAGTTTTAGCAAACTGATGAAATTTAAGAAAACTGCATTGCAAAACTAGGTCAGATGTCTGTCTTCCTGATGAAATAAATGTGTATTGTACTCATATACTATGAAGAGGTTACACATCTCTTACTTTAGGGAAGATAAAGGACGTTTTTGGTGAATTATAGTAAATTAGATGATCTAATCCTAATTTCTCATGAAACATTCATTCAGTGTGGAACAGGTTTTTTTAGGGTAATAGCACGTCTAAAATCATAGTATTTTTCAAATAATGTATAGCATAAAATGTTTGCACAAAATGCGGTTGCTTGTGCACACCACTCCTTATGCCTGCGATGAGTTTATAATTTTGGGTTATCATCTAGCAGAGAGTTTTGCCAGAGATGTGTCAGTGCAGACATTTTATTTGAGGAAATGCACACGACCGCAGGCATTCTTTTGGGGGTGTTTCAGAAGTGGGTCCGGGTTTGGCAAAGACATTTTAAATATGTAGGTCTTTCATGTGACACGAGAGTTCCTGCTTATACTTGAAATGGTGATCGATTTTTTATGACGCGCAACATTTTGTTCCCACGTTTGTCCAGTACCTCATGATATCAGTTTGGGTATGTCCAAAGACACCTCGCTTCACCTGGCAATCATTCCCTGATGTCAGCATGCCCCCTGTAGATGTTAGAAGCTGTAGCACCCTCCACAATCCCCCATCACCTCCTACCAGCTCAAGGACGACATCATTTTTGAATGCGTGCCGTTCAGTTCAAAAAATGAGGTGAAAATGAATCTTTCACTGATGACTGGGCACTCCGAACATTGGATAGACATGGAGCCAAATCATCCAATTTTACTCCTCGAAGATGGAACCTGACCAGAAGCAAGTCTTTTAATAACTATGATTTCTTCCGTATAAAGTTCCTCTTATTAGTTTCTTGGGCTCTCTGTCTGCCCAAAGCCAAAATTATCCAGGATTGTGTCATACACTGTATTTTAATGACAATGCAATTATGGCTCCACACCCAATCAATAGTTCCCTACTGAAGGATAAAGACGTTTGACAAGGATGACTTACTTTTCTCACTGGGCTCTCAAATAGGTTTGGATATGTTCTTTGCAAGCATTTCCTTGGCATTCTAAAGAATAAGAAAATCGGCCAGTAAGCACAGGGATTGCACACGTAAAACCTCTTAAAGAGAGTAATTTCACTTTTTCATTTAAGGTACTGAAATTTCCTCTAAGGTAGGTGTTACTTCCGATAGTCGTCTCCCTAACCTGGTAATCCAATAATAATATGAACACTTGTGTTATGCACAAAATGATTTGTAGCCATTATTCAAGTGACCAAATTAGTTTCAATAGTTATTTATGGTATTTGTAGCTGTGCCCTTTGTTCATGTTCATTTTGGCCAGAAATGGAGTTAGCCATACCTAAAATCCATTATGGCCCTTATGGCATTTTAACGCGATGCAGAAACATCTCGTTATATCCGTAATGGGCTGATAGTTCCAAACTGCACAGTATAATTTAAAGAAATTGATTCCTAGGGAGGAGGTGAATAGTGCCTCAGCATCACGCAGCGCGAAGACTCACATCTGGTCGCTGACCCTCAGGTGACGATGAAGCAGCCTGACCTTTCAAACTTTCTGACACGCCAGATGAAAGGCCTGTGAACATACTGTAGATTCCACAAGTGTGTCTCATGTAGACTGCGGCCGGGTGTATTACATTATGAAACCTCATTAAACCGAAAAAGAAATGGATGCCAGCGTTTCGGGGAATTGATGAAACCCATGAAGAATTATTTTTGAAACGGTATATAAAACGTAGAAAGAGGAACGGCCTGCTGCGTGTGCGGACGCTTCCCAGGGTTCCCTATGACCTCATAACACCTTGACATTGAGGTCATAATTAATCAGGCTTTAATTTCCTTAAATAGGATCTACAGTTAAAAAAAATGACATTGGGGGTTCCACTGTGTTTACATGTACATTTAAGACATGAAATGAGAAGGTAACGTGTAATGTGGAATTAATTATATTAAAAAGCTAATATTTCATACTGACGAAATATTTTTGGCTGTCTTCGATTCATGCACTTCGACCTTTCTCTACTGCAGTGTTTCTACAATATATTCCCCATTTACTGTTTTACTCGAGTCATATCTTTTTTTTTTTCATAATTCTCTGCATATTATGTATCCAGAGAAACGGTAATGTGAGGGCAGCCCTTCAGGATTTCGCAGGCGGTTGAAAATTGGTTTTGGCTGCAGCCGATATTTAAAAAAAGGGAGAGAGAAGAATAGAAAAACATATTTCATTCATACACCAATTATTAGCTTATTCTACTGCCAAGGAATAATGTTAAACTTAAAGCTGGATAATAAAAATAATTGCAACCATCGATGCTGCGGAGACCATAAAACCTGCAGGTGCACAGGCAAAGATGGACGATCAGCGACAACTACATCCGAGGTTCAAAGCCGCAGGTTCTGTGTGAAAATCTGGCCCCCGAGTTTATCCCATTACGGCTAATCGCTTAATATGGCCTGTGCATATGGGTACGTATTAATGAAAACTGCCCCTTTTTTCGGGTTGTGCTGTGTGGGTGGATTTATGGCGTTGGAACAGAAAAGACCAAAAAAACACAGAGATTTGACGTCGCCGGAGACCGCCCGCCAGTGTTTATGTACGGCCCGGACCCGGGACGGAGCTGACCCATTACTGACCTGCAGAAAACACCCCGCCGCCCACACTGAACCCCCCCCCCCCCCAATCTGACCCAGCTCTCACACACGCCAGAGAGGTTCTGCCCCCGTGAAAAGGCAACACTACCACACAGGTTGAAAGCCATAATCATCCCATCCAGCGAAACAGGATCTCAAGGCATCAAAAATCCATTCGTAAAGCCTTCACCCACATTGACAGGCATAGCTATCAAATAAGCACATGACCCAGTTTGTAGGAAAAGTAATGGCCTGTTCACAAAAAGGCATTTTAAAATGCCAATTAGCACTGTAGACCTACTGTATCATTCGTACTATTTGATACATTTTTTAACTATACCGTAACACAGTAACAAGTGGCCTCTAATGATACCTTTCATGTGCTGTTCTTTTATGTACATTATTCAGTTACGCTTTACATTAACTGCACTTTCATAAAGCATTCATTATGCATTAATAGAACATTCAGTGCACTGTTATAATACATTCATAATGCATTTATAGAACACTCATAGTCAGCATCTATCTATACCTTAACATCCTAAAATATCTTAACAGCTTTAATATACATTAATAACAAAAATTATAAGATTAAATGATTATAATGTTTGTTATTATCATATAATGTTTGTTTTTAGTGTATATTAAGGCTGTTAAGGTATGTTAGGATGTATAGATACATGCTTCTTATGAATGCTCTATAAATGCCTTATGTAGGGGTACTCAATGTTCTATGAATGCATTATAATGGCATCATGAAGGTGCTGTTAATGTAAAGCGTTACCCATTATTCTTTAATGCAATATGCAATCAGTACTAAATGTCCACTAAATACCTGATTTGCGGTGCTAAGAATTGCCCATTCCGAGCATTTTGTGGATTTCTCACTGCAGGTCTGATGATGTCATCATTTCCCCTGTTTACTGTCCAAACTGCACCGGAAATGAATTAAAACACTGGCAGTGCTGGTGACACTGGGTGCTTTTCATACCTGCGAGTGATAAAATCGCGTCTTGTGCTGCACTGAAGACAACGCGAGCTGACATGCATTTTAAACAAGGATGAGACATCTTTGTATAAAGAAGCACACGCGTAATTCCCGTATTCCCTTCCAGGAGGTGCACTATTGTGAGGCCAAATCTCACTGACTGTGACCTTGCATATCGGCATGCTTTGGCTGTCCTACTGTAAATTACATCCATTTGCCAAAATTTCTCAAGGGAATTGGCCGCAGCATTTCAGTAAAACACCATATGTGCACATTCGATGTATTATTGTATTTATCTAAGGCTCTTTATCGGATTTTGAGCCAGTAAACATTTCAGAATCACTAATGGGAAGTAATTACTAAGGAGGCCGTAAAGGTGAACAATGGATGCATTTAAGATGTTTTACTGTTGTTCTAAATTATTGTATAAGTTAGAAAGACTGCTGTTGGTGTTTTGTCCCCTTTTAACCCAGAGTGCAATTGAAACCAAGAATGCATTCATCCATCTTCCAACCATTACAAGGTTGTGGGGGGGGGGGGGGGGCTGGATCCTATTCCAGGTAGCATGGGGTACAAAGCAAGGGGAACAGCCTAACTAGTCAATTGCAGGGTACATGTATACCCAGAGGGAACCCAAAGCACCAGGAGAACATGCAAACTGCACGCACACGGAACACAGACAGGGTTCAGACCCTCATCCCTGGGGATGTGAGGCAGCAGTGCAAGCCAGTGAGCCACCAAACTACCCAAAATGCGACACATATATAAGTGTTACTGCAATCCTGCAGGAAAAAATGAGCATACTGCCGCAGAATTATGTTTAAGTCATCAATATGTATAAACAACGTTCTGTTTCCTGAGATCGCCGCTCATCCCTAGGGACATGAGCTAAGAAGTTAAAATTACTTTGAAAATAAACTTGGTTTGTGTCATCAGTGCTCATTTAGGTGTCATTCACCTTGACAAGCCGTCACCAGATCTCATTCACGGGCTCCTGTGAAAACATCTATGTCTTGGACTATTCTTCTAAGAAATTTAGCCTATGCTGCCCGCTCCTCCCAGTCCTCCCACAACTGTGGGAGGCTTTGATTTATATGGTCTGTACTGGACAGAAAAAAAAGATTAGTGGCTGGGGTTGCCCCTGGAATTCTGCATTTTCTTTCCTGTCACTATGAGAAAGTTTATCGTTCGCCAGCTTCGGCCAGACCCAAAGATAAAACAGATAGCCCCTTGTGAGTTGATAATGTAGCACCCCACTGGCAGGGGGCGAGACTGTTTATGCAACATATGGTGAAAAACAGGGAACTTTCATCTTTTCAAGCAGAAATTTAGATGTGCATAATTCCGAGGAAACTGTTTGGGGAGCTCTTGATGGCAGTACTTAAACAAAGCCATTCGCGTCTTCAAAGCATGCAAATGAGCAAGCGCTACACTCGCTAAGTACCATAACATTCGACGGAGGGGCCCTGATAAATTATGAATCGGTGGGCAGAATCGGGTTACTCCCCTATTTCCTGTGTATCATGTTTACTGACTGCATAAATGTAATAATTGAAATGTAAAGCGGGAATCCTGAGATACAATATTTACACAACACACCTCACATATGGTCCAAATTTCGCTGCAGCTGCTTTCGATCAAGGGCCCCGAGCAAAAAAACATACTTTGAAATGAAATTCTAAATGAAGAGGGAGGGACAGAGATCAGCAAGGGTTTCTGCTACCTTACAGGTCCGATTCCTGAAAGTATTATATCGGATGAAATCCGAGCGGTGTCAGAAGTCGTGTTATTATGCTCACATGCTTGTACACATGCAACACGATGTCTCCATCTTGGGGGGGATTTGACGGTTAATGTAGGCAAGCCGTCTGTGGAACAATGTATACCTTTCACTGGCTTTTCACAGCCCCTGTGTAGCTCACTACAGTCCACAGTGAGGAGGCACTTCGGGGTAAGAGCAGTACAAGTGAAAGACAGGGGAAACTGAGCTTTGCTGAATGGTTCGGTTTAGTTATTAAAATAGAAGCTCTTAGAAGCCACTACTTGCTGCGCACTGTTGCGCTACTAGGGTATCTATCGAGAAAGTACCATGGGAGATATGCTTCCACAGTAACAGTTAGGACCCCAAACAAAACCGTCAGGAGACATGTGAAGTTTCTCAGTGCGATATCATCCTCCCAAGTCATTCTGGTAGATGCTCGGGTTTTCTTGAGCTTTCACTTTCTGTATCACCGTGTGAGAATCTCTGCTGGATGGAAATTAGCTTACTATATAGGGAATGTATAAGGGGAACAGATGTAGCCTCTGTTGCACACTCACGATAAATTTAGTCCAGGCTAATTACTACTGATAAGGGCCACTGATGCGAAATTCGACAGACTGTATCTGCAAGTAAAAATACAACTGCGGAAATAGTGCGTATCATTACTCTGTTATAAATGCAATAATGAGTTGGCTAATGCACACTCAGATACGCACATACAAAACACAGCGGTTTGTTTTGTTTGGTTTTTTTTTTTAAACAAGGAATTTTGGGGCACTCTAGTATTTCATTCTCCAAACAAAAGCTTATAAATCTCCTGTAACTGGACACTAGTATCTGGTCTTGTGGTTATTTGAAATTAAATTGTGGAATTTTCCAGAAATAATGCCTCACATCACAAACAGTTTCTGAGCAACATCATTCACTCTGCTATGGTCAGTCCTAGAACTGGGCTGTCTGCACAAAGCATGTTCAATAATAGTTACTGGTTACTTGGGCATGATCAGTTTCCCATAATTGTAGTCTCATCTGCCAACCTTATCAAGTATTGATAAGTCACAGTGTCTGGATGTGAGGGTCATACCATGTGGCTGGACAGCAGGGGAGACTTTCTGACAGTAAAGGGGTTTTCGAGCAGTATACTGGAACACATTTATTGCAATACTCTTCCTTTTCACCCATAAGGCACTGCAGAAACTCTAAATGTTTATTGCTTATTCAAACAGTCAACTCCTCCGAGTGGGACTGAGAGTGAGCCGGCACAGCTGAATTCTAATGTTTACCATGGGACAGCATGATTTGCGTTTTAACCCTGGGTCACCGGCACAAAAAAAAAACAAACAAATCAGATAGCCGATTATTCCAGTTTATATTTTCACTGCACTTTAGAAGTTTTGGTCACTTTCCAATACAGGAATAAGTCAAATTTTTAGCCCTTTTCTGAGTTACTGAAGGAGTTTCTTTAAGTGTGTTCGCCTTTCAGTATTTTCAAACTGTCTCTACATAAAAAGTCTAAATTTGACACTTTGAACTGAAGGTGAGTATTAACCTAATCTTCAGGCACCAGAAGAAATTTAGCCCCTCAGCAAACTAATAGGATGACTGACAGCTTTCATCTATTACAGTACTTAAGCTTTTGATTAAAGGCGCGGGTAATCCGTCATCCAGGTGAACTGCTGGAAATTAGGTGTGGCAAAGAACGATAAGATATTGAAATTGAGCTGGAAAGACTGTTGCAAAACGTTGAATGTCCTTGACTTTTCTAAAATAAATACCAAGTCAAAAGCAAAGCGGCAGGCAGACCGGACAGTTTAAAGACTTCTGGAGTCAGTCAGGGCGAGATCATTTTGAAACCAGGTTCTGATGAAACCTGAAATCACACAAGTAAGTAATACTTCCCTTAAACTATGAATAAATGCAAATGAATTTAAAAAAAAAACTGCCAAAGGAATGGAGTTAGACAGAAATGCTTAAATAAATACTTTATTGAGCAAGTCTGGAAAACTTTGTGGAGAAAGCGCAGGTCATGGGGAAGCAGGTAAAGTAGGTGGTTCACTTCCCTTAACGAATGTTTGTAATGTGGGAACCTTCGGACAATGTTCCGGTTTGGTTGTATTAACAATCCACTAACCATTGCAATACAAAAAAACATTGGGAAATCTTATGACAATGTTCCACTTAGGTTCTCTAAACATTATAGGGACATTCTGATGCAAAATAACCTGGAGTGAACATTCTCTAAACATTACAAGAATGTTTTTGTAAAACATTCCGTGTTTGCTGGGCCGGTTCCAGACGAATGTGTGCTGATCTAGGTACTCAATTGTAATTGCTTCAGTTTTTAACCACCTCTATTATTGGGTAAATCTTTAAGCCTCTTAGTATAAAAGCATTAGTTGAGATAATTAACCAAATCAATTAGGTTCAGCACTAAGAAGGAGATGGAGAAGGTTTACAGTATAGGCTTAAAAATTACAGATATCTTTCTTGAATCTATCGCCAACCGTATTGTTTTGAGTAGCTGAGAATGAAATAACTGTATATTGTGCATTGAATGGCCAACTGAGAGATGGATTAATACAACAATGTGGTTTTGTGGCTATAGTTGTGTTCTCAGAGCCAGCAGCTCTTTTCTGCTTCAAGGAAAAAGTGCTGCGCCCACAGTTCAGTATTTACAACCACCTGTCATGGCCACCTGTTCAGCCTAAAAATTCATTTAGTTCAGAAGTGTTATGGCAGCAGCCTGTAAAAGTGCCTTTGGAAAATAGGATTACATCTGCCTCTAAGGTAATCAATCATGGGAATGGTTTGATGTGGATTTTGACAAGAGTGTCTCATAACATAATTAGATTAGACTAATCCAGGGCAAGAATCTAGGCTTTCTTTGTAAGTACTAAAAGGAACAACATTTAGAAGCAAATAGTCTTATAAATTTACATTTTATGACCATGTGGGCAAAGACTTTTGGTGGAGCGCAAACTACGGCTTTTATATTATTATGTCTCAAAAAGCCCTTGACATGGAATCTTTAGACTGATTTCAGACCAGCACATTTTTCTTTTAGGGCCATAACTGCTTTCTAACCCATGCTGAAAGTGACTATGTCCAGCAAATGGGCTCATATGGAGAAAGCTATCCACACTTGGAAAGACAAATTACAGCTACGGCCTTGGATTCAGAAGTTCTGGGCCCAATACACTTTTTCGAGACAAGACTGACGTATGCTACTATAGTTTGAGCACAAGTTACTGAGGCTTTCTATACATGAGGTATAGAAATTACACACACTACTAGAATTTGAGAGCTCTGAGACAAGAGCTAAGACTTCCTCTGTTGTATTTTATATTATTTACTTTGGTCAGTCAACGTCAATGGGACTATTCATAGATATTCGAAATTGCTATGAAGACTGATCATTTCCCCTGACTTTGGCTCACCTACAGCTATCAAATATGCTATTTTCCATGTATTGGGCCTAGCTTTTTAATCAACACAAATATACACCATTATGTCATCAAGACTGAATGCCAAAATTTGCTAGGCTTCTCTCTCTCTGATAGAAATGCACACTTTATAATACATATACCAGGCAAATTACAAAAACGATACGCTGTTTGGCTTAGATGCATACAAATTGTGGTTTTTCCTAAAACATTAAACTAGAATAAAGTAATAAATCAGAAGGAGCCAATCAATCAGTGAAATGTATGTGAAAAATATTATTAAATATTCCTGGACTAAATCAGTCTTATTGTAATTTATGTTCTTATTCCTTCATTGAGATTCATAAAAATTGCAAAAAAATAAATAAAAATGCATTCAAATTGCATGATATGTGATTCGACTTGCCCAGCTTAAAATACAGGCTTCTGGAAAATTGTTTGCACAGCTGTTATCGTCCATGCACCTCAAATCACAGATATACTGGCCACACAGGAGGAACATTGCATGTTGCAGGCCTAAAATCAATCACGATCTTTTCTTGGAACCCTTCCCCATAAATATCCTGCTCTGTTATTCTCCGTCTTCACTGCTGCCTGGAAAGCTACACCCATTGACCCCAAAGTTTTGGCCCCAGTACTCGATTGTTCCATATGCATTGGACAGGGAAGAGCTGTTAAATGATCAGATTTAGCCAGTTGCAACCATACATGGGAAGAACAGAACTAATATTCAAAGAATTCACTTCCTTAGAGCAACAGTCGTTGAGAACTGATAACAGAACTTTATCTCGATTCTGAACTGGATTCTAAGAGTCTTAAAAGTCGGCTTGGAACATGAATGGTACTCTGCAAAACACAAAAGTCCAAAAGTAACCGTGAGACATAAGGAAGCTGCATTCTTCTTACTTTTCAAAATGTTTTCTGTATGTTTATGTTAGTGACATCCTGATATGGTGACAGCCAATCAGAAAGGTGCTGCATTAGATGTCTGTAATAAATTAGATGAACATTATTAATCCCATGAAGAGGTTATAGGAGCAGTTAAAAAAAAAACAGGATCAGAAAATACACACAACACAAGAGCAAAAGACAAAGAATTATTCCCAAGCTGGGTTCTAGTGCTGATAAGTGTGGCATATTGCCAGTGGTGTAGTGCCTTCCGGGCAGGAAACAAGGAGGCTCATTCCCAACAAGAGACATTTTAAGGGTGGCCTGCAGCTGGAAGGGACCATCGCCTGTGTTCTCCCATACTTAACCAACCTGATTTTTTGACTTTACCTTCAAGAGCAAGGCTAACTTCACTACAACAATTAACAACATCTGTTTCATGGGGCTTTGGTTTATTAGAAACTGTAGTATGCTTGGCTGGCAGAAAATTGGTTTTGCATGGTATAATGCCCTTTTCCCCCATCAGTGATGCCTCTTTATTTACTCATTTTTCATTGGTTCATATGAGATGGTATCAGGCCATTTTCCTTTCTCGTTCTCGATATCCAAAGTAAGGCAGGGGTACTGACCAGTTTTAAGGGACAACATGTCTGTTATGTTTCAAATATAGAATGTAACTACTGCTTGAAGAAGGCCAGTACTCACCGGTACAAAGTACGAGCACATCTTTGCTTTTCTCTTCAGAATATTGGTACCTCTCAATATCTGCTGGTACTGAATGACAGGGGAGTACCAGCACCTGGAACAGAATAACAGGAGGAGTACCAGAACCAGAACCAGGTAAAGTACTTAATACAAAGGAGAATAACAAAGGGAGTACTGGCACCTGGCACTGAATAACAAGATGAGTACCAGCACCTGGACTTGAATAACAAGGGGAGTACCAGCACCTGGACTTGAATAACAAGGGGAGTACCAGCACCTGGACTTGAATAACAAGGNTGGACTTGAATAACAAGGGGAGTACCAGCACCTGGACTTGAATAACAAGGGGAGTACCAGCACCTGGACTTGAATAACAAGGGGAGTACCAGCACTTGTTTTTCCCCACTTCATGTACTGAATGTAACACTTGCATAATATTAAAGAATTTAAGAAACAAGGGGAGTACCGGAACCTGGTACTGAATAACAAGGCAAGTACTGGCACCTGGTACTGAAAAACAAGGGGAGTATTAGCACCTGTTACTGAATAAGAAGAGGAGTACTGACAACTGGACTTGAATAACAAAGGGAGTACCGGCACCTGGTACTGAATAACAAGGGAGTCCCCTTTTCAATTGTCTTTGATGCAAATATGACACTTCTGACCTGGTGTGGGGAAAAGCAGATGCATCCTACAGTTTGTTATACTATGTAAGGTTGAAGCTATACAGACACAACGCTTCAGCATTATCACTTTGCTTTCTATGTTGATTGTTAGTTGCTAAAAGCTCTTCCTGCTCCGTCAGGCACAATCCCAATTTGCAAATAAGGACGACGTCCATGACCTCTCTGCCACCCATCTATGCTATTACATTCAGAATGCCTCAAGAGTCTGGTACTGATAATGTTCATTTATTTAGGTTACAGTGTTGAACATGAACCGTGGATGTTCTTGGTATGGATCTGAAGGGAGTACAGGTTAAGTATGATTTTCTATGCAGATTAAGGTTCCCCAGGAAGAGAGAACTCCCATCCCCAGCAGAGTGAGACTGGTGTGGTGCCTTTTTAACATTCAGACTTACTGCTCTCGCCATTACTCTGGACATTACTCTGGATATTTGCCTATAACATGCTGAAACTGTGGGCGAATCAAAACTGCATTTTGATAGTATACATGTTTAGAAGACAGCTGGATATACAGCTCTGGAAAAGACACAGCAAAATTTTCAGTTTCACTCATGTCTCAATTTATGGATATGCTTCTGTTACAATGTTACTCGTCAGTATGTAGCATGGTGAAAAATGCACCTAACTGTGCTCCCAGCTGAGGAGTGGAACTGGCCTGAGTTTGAAGTGTATAATAACAGATTTACCAGATGAAAGGCCACCGCAGAGTTCCTAAAATCTGCTAAAATTTTTAAAGTGTTATTACAAAAGGTTGGGAAAAGGCCACATTTTCAGTGACATTGACCTTGTTTTAATCCTAAAACAAAAGGAAACAGACGGTACGCTATCAGCTCTTTTCATCATGGGAGGTGACTCACCTGGCCCTTTCCTCCCATAATGCACTCTGAAAACATTTAGAGAAGTGAAAGCTGATGAAGACTGAAATTTTTGCTTTAGTCTTCCCATCTTGGGGACCTCAGCTCAGTGGCTGTAAAGCATCAGTTTTCAATTAGCCTCTTACAGAAAAAAAGAGAGAAAATGGGCAACTGAAAATAGTAACAAAAAGGACATTTTGGTGATTTGCAGCTGTTTTCAGTGATATACTAAATAGTTATTATAAAGTTGGGTCACATTACCCTAAGGAACGCTAATTACCTTTTTAAAAAAAAAATAAATAAAAATAATTATTACCTTCAGTAGGACATCTGGCATCCACTAGATGGTTGCTCTTCCATAAGCTGGTTTAAGGGGTTACTTTGGGCCTAACGCTATTGTATGGCAACAATAGTGGATGCTGCTGGGACTGACAGTATCTCCTACTCTCAATAAAGAAAATAAAGACTATGGAACAGAACCAGCTGATGGACTAGTGACAAAGGAAGGAGGACGGTGCAGTGAAATCGCTAAATGGGTTATTTGTGATGCTGTAAACTTCTAGAATAGGGCAGGTGTTAGCAGATGTGTTTCTGATCTTTAACTCTCAAATAATGGCTCATTAGACCACTGGTAATAGTTTGCACTATAAGCTATCCTCTTTGCTAAATTTGCCTTTTAAAAAAATCTGTGCTTTACCGGTTTTGCTTGCTGTGTTATGTGGTCTAACAAGGAATCCAGTAAATCAGAAAACACAAACCATTCTTCCAGTTTCGTGATGAGGTCATGATGTATCAGTATGGACCTGCTTTGTATGCACCTTAGAAGGGATTTTTTCTTTTTCAAAATGTTGTGAAAATGTTTTGTCTTTTTAACAGAAGACTTTCTGGACAAACCCAAATCACTGCGACTTTCTGTCTCTGTGCAATTTTTTAATAGCATACCAATAAAATAAACAGCTTGTTTGGGGTTGTTGCTAAGTTTGACTGCTTACGGAACTTCCCAAACCTTAACTTCCTATGTTACCCAGTTTACCTGCCATATACATAAGTTACCCTGCAGGAAAACCACTACAGTTTAGAGGATTCAAGCCATTTCAGTCAACTGGTAATCAGAGGAGAGACATATTTGTGCAGTAGATAAAAATCCCAGATTTCAGAAAGTTTAACGGTAACACTTTACTTGACGGGGCAAAAATACTTCGTAATAACTCAGGTACTACTGAAGTACAAATTACGAACAAACATAGTTGGTACATGAGATAAAAGATGCATCACGATTCTTTAATGACAAACAAACATGAGATCAGTATTTCACTTGTGTTATTCATTACTTGTTCCTTCAGTAGTTCATAAATGTTTACAAAATTAACAGATATAGTAAATTTAGTAATTGAGACAAAACATGCATCACAATTCATTAATGATGAGTTAACCTGAGATCAGTATGTAACTAAGACTTAGTTCATGGTTAATTAATGCAAAAGTAATAGAATCACTATTTTTGGTGCCCCTTCAAGTAAAGCGGTACCAGTTTAACAGAGCTACTGAATAGAATGTGGAGAGTGAGAGTCACTCATGCATACTGATCCATCAGCGTAGGTTCAGAGGTCACCTTTGAACATTCACAGCACCTTTACTGCCCTGTTTAAGCCAATGGGATAGAGGTTAGACCAGCATGGGACCAAGGGTGGAAGGTAATCCCACCCACCGTGGGCCTTGCTGCCTTATTTTTCCAATTACCATTTACCATTTTATGGTGTGTAATGTGTCCTCAGTTTTAAATCTTGCTAGGATATTGACTAAATGACCAAACCCTGTGTGTTCTGTATATGTCTTCTCAGCATACTAATCCCTAGCAAGTCTATGGACAAATATCTCCAAAGAACAAGAGATAATATACATTATATATCATGGGCACAATCACCACAAATAATCTTTTTTGCCTGGTTTCAAAAACATTTTGTCCTACACCGTGGGCTCACGATACAGGAGTACATATAGTTAACTGTCACCCAGGATAAGTGGGTGCATGATGGATGGATGGATGGAAGAACAGACACTAAGCTAGACACCTTAATTATACAAATTGTGGACACTTTGCCATTACCAGCCTGGAAGTTAGCGATGACAGAATCAATCCCATTTACATGAGGTTTACAAAACACATACAGTAAAGAATAAATAAGGAAAAACAAACATGTATTTTTGTACTTAGGATAAATGAAACCAGCTGTTTAGAATAATGTTACTATGTTGCCAGGGAAGACATAGACCTTCTTTACTAGCCATTTAGTCACTTAGAACTGAAGTGTATTTTTGAAAGTGAACGTTTTAAAAAACACAAATTCAATCCAATTGTTTTGGATTTGCACATGGACAGAACGTGCACTGCTGATGCCGTTTGAGCAGCAGTCTAAAGATAATATTTTGATGGATGAGTAACACTTTCAACAACTAATCCATTTTTAAAATCACCTCATGGGTGATGACCTATAAACCCAGGTCAAAAGTCAACCAGGCCCTCGCAAATTCTGTAAGCCATTTGGGAGCCTGAAAAACAGCTCCTTAGTTGACCTGTCTATCAAAACAAAGGAACTTTAGAGACTTAATGTCATTGTGATTCTGCCTGTCTGTCACTGCTCGAAAAAGAAAAATGATTGTCAATGATTCTCTTACATTTGATACATTTATGTCTTTTAAGATTAATGATGATTCTTTTGAAAACTAGTTTAGATGTGTTTTAGTGGAATTACATAAATCAAAGTACATTAACTGGTTTATAAAAGTATCGTAAGCTATGTAATACAAAAATGATTCCTGTGAAGTCATATTTCTGACTATCTGAGAGGCTGGGAAAGTAACATGATTTATTAACTTGCACAGTAAATACATATAATATAATATATGAATCTGCAAATAAATGAATTATGTCAGCAAAGAAACTTGGCAATGAATGGCAAGGAAAGCAGATAATGCAGACCTCAGACTTCTGGTTCAGTGGTACAGAAGTACTCTGTTATAACCTTATGTGGAAGTACTCTGTTATACCCTTATGTGGAAGTACTCTGTTATAACCTTATGTGGAAGTACTCTGTTATACCCTTATGTGGAAGTACTCTGTTATAACCTTATGTGGAAGTACTCTGTTATAACCTTATGTGGAAGTATTCTGTTATACCCTTGAGTAAGGTACAAAAAGTGAAAACACTTAAATGCATAAATAGATAAACAATAAAGTCTAAGCTTGGAATAAATTCTCCTTTTCAATCCAGGGTGTGATTCTTCTAAGTCAAGAAAGGATATGTTAAAATTGTGAAATAAGCAAAGGAAGACTAAATAAGCAAAGGAATGTCATAGGACACAGAATTCAAAACAGTCAGTGTCGCATGCTTATGCCACAATCACCGATATTATATCTCCCAGACCAAGATGGCGCTTTAATGAATCGAGTAGTGAAAGGATTTCATTCTGTACAATTAATACTTGTACCTAGTTGATATAGCTTAGCTTAATCCAGCAAAATTTTGACTCATTATTCCACATAGAAAAAATAGAAGCTGATTTTGTTTTGAATGCTCATTGTTTTCAACTTTCCTTATTACTCAACACAGCATTCTCAATATACAGAGAGTA